CTTCAGACAGGCCGTGGAAACACCGGTCCTTCTCTCGTTCGCGGATGAGCTGGTCCTCGCGCAGCAGCCGCGAGTAATGCAGCGGGTCGCTCTCGCCGGCATCCAGGCTAGGGAAACGCGCGAAATCCGCCGCCTGTGGCAGCGTATTGGACGTGCGGTAGTTGAGATCGCCCGCCAGAAAGAGATAACCCGCCGTAAACACCCCTTCTCCTTCCCCCTCCCCCGTCGCCCTCGACGAACCAAGCAACGCCGCGCTCTCCGAATCCTCCTCCTGGTTTGTGGTTGTAGCGGTACTGAGAACCAACCTCTCCACAATCGCCCTCCAATCCTCATTCCGCCGCTCAAACGCATCTTCCGCAGGCGCAAGATGCGCCGCGACAAACGTCAGCGGTACCGGCACCGTCTCAGATTCAGACTCTGACTCTGACTCCGACATCCACCCGAGTCTCGCCCCAACAGCCCCCTTATTCCCCATCTGCTGTAACCCCAGCCCGACACCCGCCGTCTGCACCGACGCAATCTTTCCGACGACGTCCGACCGCGCGAAGACCATCAACCCCGTCATCCCGACATGGTCCTCCACAACAGGGACGTACTGCGCATCCTCCCAGCGACTTGCGGCTGCGCGTGCGACAACCTGCCGGAATGAGGTAAAGTACGGTGTTAAATAAGACCCGCCGAGGAAGGCGTAGGCGATAGGCGCGAGTTCCTGGAGACTGAGGGCGATAAGGTGCGGTGCGGAGGGGACCGTGTGGGGAAGGGCATGGAAGAAGTGCGACGCGAAGAGGTCGATGTCGATGGGGTTGCGGGCGCAATTAAAGGTGAGGATGTAGAGGGTGAGGTTGTCCATTTCCTTCTAGATTATTGCATAGTCTATGCCGAAGTTTGTAGGCAGTCGTTAAGAGGAACGGGGGTAGGGTGATTGTGATGGTTGATTGCTGGTGTCGGTGACGTCGTTGAGGCAGTGTAGCGGTGTGTATGTCCACGTGGTTCTGTCCGTGGTTACTATGTACAATTTTGTTGGCACCCGACTGTAATTGGTGCAGCAAAAAGACAATTGAAAGAAGACGAGAAATTAAAAACAACGTGGAAAAAATGCATCATCCGTGAATCGAACACGGGCCTCGTCGATGGCAACGACGAATTCTACCACTAGACCAATGATGCTAGTTATTCTGAGACGGTCAAGATTTGACCATAGAGGCAGGATTCAGTGCCGACAATTCAAGAGCGCACAATGATGGCGTCAAATAGTACAAGAAGCTATAATATTTATATCATATGTCTGAATTGATAACATCGATAATTGAACGCTTGATCTAACAAAGAAACGCTATGAGTCTAATGCTACAACGAAAACAACCCAGTCCTCCGCTTGCCAGAAGGATAAACAACCAACGCCGCAATAAACAACCCAACAGTAATGCCAATCGCCGTCTGGATCATACCATAGCCCAGACTGGTCAAGGATGTTCCCGACGTACCACTCGACGTATCGGCCGTTCCATTCCGGACCGCATCCGAGTACTCAATCGCCGACAGGATCGAGCCGGACGAGGCCAGACCCGACGGCACCATGGTGAAGATACCCGGGATGGTGGAGCTCACCGCGTTGCCGTGCCAGAGGCGACTGTACAAGTTGGCCAGCAGGCCGATGGTGAACGCGCCGACGGTGTTGGCAACCTGCGACGAGGAGCCTAGCTTCTGGGTGCTGAAATAATTGGTTATGTAGCCCGAGGTCCCGATCAGGACCATCATGGGGATCTGTCGGAATTTGGCCTGGTTGATCAGCGCCGCGATGACGCAGTATGCGGCGACGAAGGGGAAATGAGAGGCGTACGGGCTGCCCCAGACGCTCTGCCGGGCGCAGGTGGTGTCGCTGGTTGCGTTGGAGTCGATGGCGCCGTAGATGGTGGTTCCGACTGTGACGCCGTAGCCAAGGAAAAGGGAGTAGAGGATGGTGTACACGAGACGGATCGATCCGGCGATCATCTGATGCGACTGGAGCTCCAGACTGCTCGTCAGCACGGAGAAACCGGGCAGGATAAGGGCGATCGAGGACTGAGTGATGGTGGCGTAGCAGAAGACCGGGTCCGACGTGCCGGGGTATCGGATGCTGCCAAAGGCGCGGGCCAGGAACGAAACCAGGATGGCCGCCGTGACCTCGAAGACGTTCGAGTACAGGGCCGAAAGTGGAGCGAGAACCAGCTGCATGAACCCGACACAGCATCCCAGCACAAAAATGATGGGCATATCGATCGGGCGCGCTGAGAAACCAAACGGACCGACAGCGGCCGAGCCAACGCCGTAAAGCAAGATCACCAGCCAGCGCGGATACCGCGGCTTGCGGTCCATGATCTCCGTCAGCTCGCCGATGGCCGTCTGCATGTCCGTCATGTCATGCGTCACCCGCTTGTAACACCCGTGGACCTCTTCCAGACGCCCCAGGTCCAGCCCCTGTGGCACACGGACCAGTTTGACCTCGGCAGTGCGAGTGTACGGATCGTCAAAGGACATGATCATGCAGCCGGGAAGGTACATGAACTGCGCCTCGATGTCCAGCACGCGAGCCGTCATCTGCATGTACTCTTCCAGTCGGTGAGTGGGGGCACCGTATCGCATAAACGCACGGCACAGTTGCATGATGTAGCGTTGACGGACGATGATGTCCGCGATGTGGTACCGCAGCTTCACCTCGTCGTCGTTCTTCTTCTTCTTCTTGTTGCCCTTGTTGCCCTTGCTGCCGCTTTTGATCTCCGGCGGCGGTACGTTCGCATTGGCCCAGGCCGACGCGGAGCCGATACGGCCCATATTCATCGACGCATGAATCAACGAGGCAGTCGAGCTGTTTCTGGACTTCTTGTACCATGCTTGGGGTTTCTGACGGGTAGGCGGAGGACTCGAGGCGGAATGGTGCACGCCTGGCGTGGGAGTCACCGTGCCGGACAGTGTAGGCGTGGATTCGATGTCGGACTCGGGGGCAGAATACATGCTGTTGGTGCGCGAATGCTCCATCTGGCTCGCCTGCAGCCGGAGCAGAGCCGACAGCACACCTCCTCCCAGTAGCGGCGGCGGCGTATTGCCATTGGCCTCGACGTCTGTTGCGGCACGATCCGCCAGCGTCGTGGCATCCGATTCGGGAAACGAGCTCTCCTTTTCATTCGTCTCTGCCGACGGTTTGCGATGACGCATCTCGGCCAGACCAAAGCCCTGCATCAGCTCCTGAGCTTCCGCAGCCACCGCCATATGGAGCTTGGACTGATCGGAGAGCCCCGAATCCTTGTTGTTTCTGAAGAAGGCCGCCAACTTCTCGTCGTCCTGCGAGCCGAGCTCTTCCATCGGGACCAACGAGGAGCCCAGCCCATTCGCATCTTGTCCCTCAGGCCGGCCTAGCCTGTCTGCCAGCCGCCCGGTTTTCTGTCTGACTGATCGGCTAGCCTGCAGCCATCGATCTCGACTGAAGACAGACGATGATGTGGTGGACCGCACATCCTGATGTGAATCTTCGCGCTGACCCTCCTGACTCTGGCTTTCCTGGGTGGACGTCTTGCGATGCGCTTCATGGACCGGACTCTCGGGTTGCTCCTCTACCGGCGGTAGGTTTCCTGGTAGATCGGTAGATGAATCTCCCGACTGACCGGTGTCGGTTCCATCGGCTCGAGGTGTTTCTGCACTCATATTGACTGGGGTAAACGAGAGGGTCAAGCTTAGTGGGGAATCAATCAAGTACGACGGGTCACTAGATGCCTGATGACTCGGACCGGGGCATCTTCAGAGATGATAGAGTATGGAGAAACGGGGTAGTCATGAAGACCGAGCAAATAAAGAGGACATAGGAGGCTTTGTCTCCTTTCTCCTCTCCTCTCCTTTTTTTCCTTGTCCTAATAGCAAGTGGGACTAAAAGGAGGTCATAACGGAGGATGTATTATTTAGGAGCACCGAGCACGGGACAAAACGACCGGTTCATGGGTTTATTTCTTAGTGTGTATTAGTCTGTATCTTCTCCTCTTCTACGGTACAACACTTTACAACTTCCAAGGAAATGGAACCGTAATTTGTGCATTCGTGTGCCGGTGGGGCTACCACGCCTCGTCCTGTCATGGTTTCAAGTTTCAGTCCCCGGGTCTCGGCAACCTCGAAATGTACTCTGCAGATAATCAAAGACTCGAAGGACAGTGGTTCTCATACACAGTAGAACGATAGAAAAGGGCAATGCTTCATATTTGACAGGTCACATGCATGCCATTGACTCCGTACCTGTCTGGTCAGTTCCTTGCAGAAAAGGCGGAGCTTGATGACGCCTCCCGCGGGGTGGCTGACACACGAGGAAAAAGCAGAGTTCTAGACCCTTCCTTGCAAGTTGCAACTATTATAGCGGGCTGTCCAAACGGACTGAAAATTCTTTAATTAGCGTCTTCCCCCATAGTCTAGGATTGGCCTCCTATTCGGGCCTCGGGAGTGTGTACCGTGGTCACTGTACCCGAGGCCAGACAGCTCTGGACCGCCAACTGGTAACTGTATAGTACAATTATGCAGTGTAGTTTAACCAATCATGCGAACGGTGATGAGCAGCTCATCATTAGCTGCATATAAACGTCAATCACTACAATCTATGAGGAGCTCCTGGTCCAATTCGCTGAGAGTTTGATACAACTTACAAGTCCTTACTAGCTCACCTGGTGGGTCATGTCGATCAGTGAAGACTCGAATAAGGTACTGCTTTTGATGGTTACTACTTGGAACATGATATCACCCCGCATCATTTGAATCAGCAGTTGATGACTGATATTAGTGTATTCCTGGTGTTTTGAGTCGGTTCTATGTGTCGCTCCCTGACTCGTCAGGTCCGCTTCGCTGACGTGCATGAGATCAGAAGATATGGAAACTAGCGGCCAGTAGCAACTATATTTCGAGGATTGAGTCAATTCCATCGATGGAGATGGACTAAATCTCGGATTCTGAGGGACTCTATTGACCAACAGGTGTCCAATAGCCTCACTATGAATCGGGGCGGAAGCTAGTATACCTTGCCATCTACCACACTCCATCAATGTGTTGTCATAGTATCCCGTCATAACCAAATGCCTCCATCCAACCCCTCCACCATCGCATCCATCTACAACGAACGAAGCACCGCCTACGATACCGCCACCTTCCACCACCGCCTCGCTGAGGAATACATGCGCGCCGCAGCCCCCAGCCCGGCGCTCATGTCCACGATCTCGCCTGCGGCACGGGCCTAGTCACCTTCCTCGCAGAAGCTCAGGTCGGACCGACAGGGTACGTCGGCGTCGATATCAGCGCGGGGATGCTGGGGGTTGCGCGGGGAAAGGCACAGCGAACCGGGTCGCGGGTTACCTTCTACCAGCATGATATCTCCGATTTGACTGATTTGGATCTGAATCCGAATCCGGGAGGTGAAGGCGAGGGCGCAGGCCAGTTCGATCTAATCACTTGTGCGGCGGCCCTGGTGCTGCTCCCTGATCCGCTTGGAGCGATACGGAGCTGGGCGGAGGTCGAGAGGGTGTATTTGAGCCCTGTCTTCCAGGTGAAGGAGCACAAAGTTCAGCAGGCTGGGGAGTTATTCGAGCAGGCGGTTTCAAGTCCTATGTTTAGGAATTTCGGGGTGGGAAGTATCAGGGACCAGGCGAAGAGGTTGTTTGACGAGACGTTTGTGGAAGAAGCTGGGGAGGAGGGTGTGTTGGTGGATGAGGCCAAGATGTATATTGGTTTGCTGTCAAGCGGTGACACTGATGTTATCCATGAGTTTGAATGTTATGTTTGAGGGAGGCCAGTAGATTCCATAGGTGATATCTACCACTCCACATCCAACATCTGCTCGCATACCCACCGTGCTGTCTGCGTATGGAGACTATAATACCTCTCATCCTCTTTTTCCTTGCCATCGGCTTCACACTTGGACGTAGACTTCCCGAGCGCCTCGAATATAACCAGCTGATCTCGCATATACTCGTCCACACAAGGCTGACGTTTCTCAGATGTACTCTGCAGTCCTGGGTCATACAACTCATGCACAAAGTCATCCACGCATCTCTCTACCAGTTCCAGAGCTATACTCCTGTCGTCTGTTGGTCGACCCTTTCTGCCGCCTGACTTTCGATGAGAATCCTCCCCGTGAGCGCCGAAAAGCGCATCCCGACCGAGCTTGAACCCATTCGATGTATGCGCCACAATGAGAATGTAAATATGTGAGCGGTGGTGCGTTCTTTCCGAGGTGTGCAGACTGATAGGTACAATCTCCTCATTTTCGTATGATCTGGCCGATGGAGAATCTGCCCTTGCTCGTTTGACTATCGAGGATGGTATCCTTCGGAGTCGAGCGCGCAACATACGCATGGTCTCATACTCGATGACTTGGCGGATAGTTATAGGCTGAGATGTATCGTCCGGTATTTGCGAATTTCCCTTCTTTCGAACTTTATGCTGATCGGATCCACCAACCAAGAGCGTATCCGGTGCCAAAACCGTGATATCAACCTGCGTGATCTCGCCCCGCGGGTATCTGTCTAGATCGACTCGTGGAAACCCGTACGGAGACTCCTCATTTCTGTCCATCGGGTGAATGACGAACGTCACCTTCCCCAGACTAAATGGTCCAGTGGCCCATCCTCTCTGCTCCAGATGGACCGCGAGGGACGGCAGCCCGACCCTGGCGAAATTCGGCACCAGGACCTGCGAGATGTAATCATACGACGGAGAAAGGGACACATTTGTGCCTCCTGTGATACTCACACGGACGGGCTGTGGTTCTGGTTCTTCGTCTGCTAAACAGCTGGCTGTATGAAGAATATACGGATACAAAGCCTGAAAGACCAGTGATATAGCCCCAGCCGTTGGAAGGCGGATGTTAATCTCTTGCTTCTGCCGAACGCAGGTCTCTGCGTCTGGGAGGGGATGATATGTCAATGAAGACGAGCCCACTTCGGCCCCTGAGACGGCACTCCCGCTGACGTCTGCCAGATACTTGATGGCTGCCAGGTGGGATGCCTTGAGACCCTTCTTGCCGGTGCGGTTGCCGCGGATGTGGTCGATTGTGATGGGTTGGCCGGTGATGGTGGACAGGGCCAGCGCGATGCGCACTAATTGACCTCCTCCTTCGAGGGTGCGGCCGTCAAGGTGAATTTTTTCTCGTCTGGTTGGAGATGACGACATATCGACTGTTCGAGAGGACCTTGTGGGGAGTGTATCATTATTGGTCGTGGGGATATTGTTGAATGGGCGACTAGAATTATATATGCTCTTTTACGGAAAGTACTTCAAACCAAAACACAATGTCTATCTATATTTTGGGCCTGGTCGGCCGCTACTGTATATATTCATGACTCACAGCCAGGCCTGGGCTCCATTGCATGACTCAATTAGTGACGCATCGCCAACACCTGGAGGATTCATCCGTGGGCCAAATAAACTTGGTCGGAGCTACCCTGGTATCACAAAGGCGTCCAGTCAATGAAACAGAACAGCTGCAACTGGATCACTTTGTATCCATAACAAACCAGGAGGCAGGGCAACGTGTCCTGGTTTTACCACGAGTCAGGATGGTCGTTCACTACGGAAATGGCAAGGCTTCTGACATCCCTGATAGATGTCCTGCTCATATTATGTACAATGAAAGTAAGCGTATCGCATCGAAGACTAGTCTCAAGTCTCAGCCTCAGAGTGATCAAAGCCCCGCAGAGCCTCGTCAGTCTCGTCAGCGTCCTTTTTATTCCTAAATCCACACATTTTATAGTTGCATTCAAGCAGGCTGATTTTCGCCATGTTCCTCTCCAAACTCCCAAACGAAGTCATCTTTCTAGTCGCCACCCATCTGGTCTGCTACAGGGACCTCAGGGCCCTCGTGCTATCCTCTCGTGGATTGTACCATCTCTTGAAAGCATGTCTGAGGAAACACAGCTACCAAGCTTGCCATGGAGACGCTCTATGCTGCGCCGCTGCCCACGATGATGAAGGTCTCACCAGGGAATGTCTAAAGAGGATGGCAGTCGCCGCCGATTCCTTTCAAGGGCCCCGTGTGAGCAACCCGTACAAACACCCTCTATGCACCACCAACTGGACGGTCGAGGATACGGTGCTCATTCAGCGTGCGCTGCTGGTAGCCGTGCAAGCTGGTTCAAAACGCGTAGTCAATTTTCTTCTCGACCACGGCGCACAGACCATGTTCCGGTGTCCGATGGGCTACATTAACAACATCCCACCGCTCTATCTCGCCGCGCAGAACAGTCACGAGGACCTTGTGGACTTTCTATGTGAGACGGGAGAATCATGCTACGGAGTGAATACGTGTCCGCTCCTTTGGGCAATCGAGCATAATCAGCGCCGGATCATTCGCATCCTACTGCGCCACGAATCGTGCGATCATTGCTGGTATGTTCTGCCTATGGCCATGAATCATAGAGATACGGACATGTTGCACTTCCTGCTGGAAAACGGTCTCCATGGAACAAATTATGCGCGTGATGCGCTGTTTGCTGCAATTTTCAAAGGGGACCTAGAAATGGTTAGATTGTTCATCGCCCACGGCGCGGATCCGAACCGGCTGGGCGACTGCTACGACAAGAGGTGGGAGACGAGTCATGTCCAGCTTCTTCGGGAGATTGATAGTCGGTCCCTTCTGGAGCTTGGCGGTATAGAGGATGACTTTTTGACTTGGTGCAACGGCGTGCGTGTTGACGAGGAGCCGGCGTTCTGTAGTACCACCTACGTTGCGATTTATCATGACCAGATGCCGATACTGAGGTTTCTGCTCGAGTATGGGGTACATCCTGAGCCGGAGGACATTCAACTGGCGCGGAAGAAAGGGAATGAAGAGGCTGTCGGTTTGCTTTCTCGATTTTCTGATGAAGATGTACCGCTGAAGAAATATTGTCTTCAGGAGTGACTCAATGAGTGATCACAAGAGACTCAAGACAGCTCATATCGCAAGGAGAGATTGCCTTTGCTATACGCAGGAGAATATCACCTGGGGGCACCCAGTAGCTGTTTTGGGGTGAAATCGACGAGCTAACATCATTTCGGGTCTAATCCCTCTTTCCGTGGCTATAGGTAAAGGCAGAGGAATTACAAAAAATGGGCTGTTGCAACAACTGCCAATTGTGTAGATGTTGAAGCAACAAGGAAGCTGCGCCTGGGATCTGTTGCCATCAAGTTGCCGTTATCACACCAAGCTCCTTCTATTTCGGGGCGGCTGCCATTGTTTAACACCGGACACCCAACGATAAGGTATCTCCAGTTGTAGAACTTCTCTCATTCATACTCATCCCTTAGCTCACATCAGTACTCAACTATATCCCCTTCGAATAAATTATACCAAGAATGCCGTCTATATCCCTGACCGCAAAAGATCGCTTGCGACGAAGTCAGTCCGCTCGCTCCATGCGCAGATCGCGTCAGTCCTCCCTGCCCTCGGAGCCGTTCGACCCGTCTATTGCCAGACAGCATGCGGCTGTCGCTGCCACTCGTGCCATGCTGCGCTCCTCGGACAGATCGTCTGCAGACTCGAAGCACTCGTATGACCGTCTAGGTGGCCCGGAAAGCATGGCAGTCCCATCGAGAAGACCACCTCATCCACCCCGTCACACGCAAGCCCCGGCCAAGGATCCATCAGTCGAAGACGCTTCACCTTCTCGCCGATCCATAGCGAGCTATATAGAGAGCCGCGACGATGACCTCACTTTCTCGGCGGCCTTGCCGCCCATAAGTGAGTTTCGAGGCCTGGATGGTCGTGACTCCTCGCTGCCTTCCTCCTATCGCCGGCTTCGTAAAGCACGTTCGATGTTCTCAACCAGACAGCGCTCTTCGTATATCTCTCACGAATTCTCATCTGATGCATATGCTCGGAGATTCAATGACACAGAGCAATTTGACACGTCCCGCTCCTACAGGACGTTGAGACACTCCATGTCTTTTCTAAAAAGTGGTCAATCTCCTAGAACCGTCCGCCACGCGCAGAGTCAAGAAGCAGCTATCCAACTCGCGCGCAGTCAGTTCCAGGAGAACATGGTCGGACAATCCAGTGGTCAAAGGCAATCGTCTATCACCATGCTCAAGCCGAGACGTGAGCATAAGCCCTTCAGAAAGACATTTCGCACTAACAGCGGCTCGGGTATGGACACAGATGCGTCACCATCTGCGGGGCAGTCAAAAAGAGTTTCTTCTCGTGGAAAAGCACGCGCTCTTTCTTCATCTATCAAGAGAGGGCTGAAGCGAGTTTTGGGTCTGTCAAAGACATCAACGGCTCCGGGGCAAGCGGAAGCTTCACCCCCCTCGCTTCAGCAACACGATTACGGCCCATCGTCGACCATATATGATGGCGATTTTAGCCATGCTGAGGAATTTGACCATTCCCGTGAGACCATCGGCCAGAGCAGACCACCCACGGTGCGGAGTCTTCGAAGCAATGAAAGTCTTGCGACTTCCCGTTCTCGTGTAACAAGTTGGGCCGACTCGACCGTCGCAAATACGATCGCAACCCGCAGGGCACCCGAGTGTGACTGTCTGTCCATTATTAACGAACAAGGAGACTTTAACGGGCGTGCTGGTTCCGAGCTTCCACCAAGACCAAGTCCAATACGACCAGACGGCTCCATCGACAGTAAGCACTTGTACGATGCGTTGTTGAGGCGGATCGGCAGAGAAGATACGCCAAGTCCCAGTGAGGAGGTTGTAGTGGGCCAAGTCAAAGAGCATCGACTCATACCAGCGCGCACGTCTTCTCTTCGCCCCAGGCGCAGCAGGCAGACCATCCGTCAGATACCAAGTGAT